TATGTTTAGTCGTCGACCATGGGGTTATTATCATTCAAGTATTGCGGTGAAGCATTGAACTCCAGTTTACAACAAGCTACATCATTGGCTCGGTGGATGGGAATGCGCATAATCAAGACCAAAAGCGGGCGGATTTATAATACTCCGCGGGATACGTACATTGCTTGCGAAGGATGCTGTCGTGAAAGCAGCCGGAGCGGATGAACACTTTGTTGGCCACAGCAAGACAATTGGATAAATAGCAGGCTTTCTAATGGCAGTACATGAGTCTTCAACCCAATCGTGCCTGACGATGTACAACGTTGGCCATTGTTCATCATAGCAGCCGGATGGAAGGGTTGATTCGTCCACGTTGAAGTCGGCGTTGACACGGTTGTAATGGCTTCCCAACCTCAGTTAGTAGCTGTGCTTGAATGTTTCTCATCATCTTTCTTAGTGTATTCGGGACTATTCATATTCTAACGTGAATCTTCGGAGACGGAGGAATACTGTTTGCTAGGCAACAGCAATGACGGGGATCATTGTTGCTCTGACCAAAAGACCACAAGTGCTCCATTCAAGGTCTATGTTGCCATAATCAGAAAGCGGAAACTCGGCGATGGAGATAGACTGCCACAGCACACAAAATGATAGACGGTCAATCAGCGCATTTTAAGGTCCAGGCTTTGAGAAGAATACTGGATAGCCCCTTTCATGCTGGACGAGCTACAAGTTTTTCTACGCCCAACCAATTGTCATGTCGGCGGCCTTTGTCTCGACTCAACATGACAATGTGTTTCACAAATGGAGAGACTGAGAGTAAAAACTCACTGGGTTTTGACCACACGTCGTATTCATGCAGCTTGCACTTCCCTCAAGATCAATGGCATTGTTCGAAAGCAGAAAGTCGAGTCCACGGACATGCCGGCCCGAGCGGCGCCGCGGAGTGGAGACGCCGCCTTCCGGAAGCCCCGATGTGGGTCCCGCCTCCTTTGTGGGAACCGCCGCTAGAAGGAAAATGACATTTTGCTCTGACAAAGTGACCGGGGTCGTGATTGGGCCATCTGAGCGCTGATAAGGCTAAGGTTTAGCGTACTCGTAGGGGCCCGGAACAGGGAATGCTTCCCTGCAGACGCCTGTCGCAAAAGAACAGCCTCCCCATGCCCAGGGACGTCATTTTGGGTTGCCCCCCAACTCCGGGTCGCGATTCCCACCAGCGAGGTTTCAAAATGGGCGGACGTCGTCCGGACTGGGTGATGGTCAGATTCTCGAACGCGAGCCATATTGGATTTCAATGGGTTCAGCCCAGTCTCGTGTCGGCAGACGACAGGATGAAAGCTGGGGTGCAGCGTTGGGACGAAGGGGCATGACAGCGTACGGGGAACGAGTATCGGCGAGTTCTCGTTGGATGACACGAAAGGTCTTTATCTTGCGTCCAGATGATGCGGCGTAATGGTGCGACGATATCTCATGCAGATGCCTGCGGCTGAGGTCACCTTTAACGTATCTGGAGGTGTCGCCGCGTCGCCAACGTCATGTAGTGTCTGATCTAATGCCTCAATTGTGCGCTGATCGGCCATCATCAACGATTGTAAGATAGTCGCTGCGGAAGTTTGAAAACGAGGCAAGCCTCTCGCCGATCTTGGCAAGTTGTCGAACACTTCCACCTGGTCGACGGATAGCGCGTGGAATGTGGCGTTGTTGTCATCGTCCGGCAAATGTTTAATCGACTTCTGCCGCCTTTCCACGAGTTGGTCGTGCTGCACTTTCATTGTTGATGTTGTGTCGTGAAAGCCAAACCGGCCTTTCGTCGGCAATTCTCGTGAGGTTTAGAGAGGCGATGCTTCTTTTACAAGTCCTTCAGTCCCTTCGCAGGCTCTTTAGGTCTGCTCGCACCTTGACAGTCCTCGAGAGTCTAGACAACGACGTACCCCATGGCATTGGAATCCAACGTGTGAACCCAGGTTTCTAGTAAACGCGAACCGTTGATTGGGGCTGCGGGAGCGCCCCAGCTGGAGATCGCCGACGGTGGAGGAAGCCAAGTTTGGGGCCTTGGGGGCTTTCTTTGCCATCGAGAGTGGTCCTCGGCATTTTGACAGTGCTGTGTTAGCAAACGATTTTTAGGAGCACGACTAATGGATTTCCTATCCCCCCACAAGAGGCGCGTCTGCGGATGAGCGCGATGGGGCTGGCAGACTGAGTCCCGAAATCTCCCTTGACATGTGCCGAAAACGGAGCTAGACAGGACTGCCGGCAACGGAGTCAGCATAAGAGTGATTTTCGAGAATCGACCCCGGACACTGAAATTGATGTGTGCTTGCCTCTGTGCCTATTTCTTGTTGGAGGAAGTTATGGTCCGAGATTTTCGGTGTTCGCGAGGAAGAACATCTGCAGGTTGTCGTTCTGGTGGTTTGATCTGGCGGACGGCGTAGATCATGCCACAATGCGGGTGAAAGATAAAGTAGGCTCAGTTGGTTGGCTCTGGTGATGACATGAGCCACGGCATGCATGACTGGTCAAGCCTTGCTTGACAGTCTGGGCCAACTTGGAGAATGTCTTGTCAGGAACGAACAGCCTGGCGTTCTCTCATTGGTCTCGAGGCACATGCTGGGCATCGGGGGTCTCTGTCCGTGATGGAGGGTGACCTACGTCCCAAGATCAACGTCAAGCCTGCATCTCCTTCAACTTCTTGGCCAAGCCGAGTGAATAAGAAACCACAATCGCCCTGTTGGTATCCCTCCTACTGAATGACTCCCTAGTTTGAAAACCTGTCAGCGCATGCCACGGCTAAAAAGCAAAGGCGAAGACTTGCGATAAGGTCGAGACATGATGGCTGACAGACGAAATGGGGGTGTTTTGGAGGGTGGAGGGGACGGGAATTGTCGTGAAGAGGATTGCCGTATTGGGGCGAATCGATTAAGAAGAAGCAAATGGATTGGGGGGTCCCCAGGCGAGTCCCACGTCGACGAGTCTTGTCCCGTCCGCATCAGTGGAGGGAGGCCGAGTGGGGCATTCCACTGCGATTGCCGGACTGCTGGGCCGCCCGTGCAAGGGGCTGGGCTGCAGCAGTCTGTCGCTGGTTTTTAGGGGTGCTCGTCGCTGGAGACTAGGTACCTTCCCTTAGGTAGACTCGCTCAGTGTTCGGCCGAGGCTGTGCCTGGAAGAGCATTTAGCACGGAACGACCTGACAAGCGGACGGGCAGCCACAATCCAAGCGACCGCCTCTGAGTGGACCAGAGGCATTTCGTTGATTCAGCCCAATTACTGTTCACCACTGACAGGTCCCGCTACGCTTGCGCCTATCGGATCTCTTATCTGCAACCTCTTGGTCGATTAACGATTTAATTCATCATCGGTGGATGCCAAGCTTTGGGTCGTTGAAGCGAGAGAGGCAGCCCAAGAGCAGGCATTGGGTCAAGAAACTGTATTTGGTCTGTCGACGTTGAAGCCGTCGATAGTTTCGCTGGTTTTTCTTGGCAGGTTGTACTCTGGCCGGTGATGAATACCTACTAGGTATGATGGAGTGTCGAGGTGGCAGTGTCGCAACTCGGTAGCTATGCGGTATTTGTCCAACGTGATGCACAATCCGGGGGCCCTTCGCGGGGAAGACGTGCATAAGACGTTCAGCCGGAGTGAAGCCGCCGGCAACGGTCGATCCACGTCGGCATTGATAGTCGGGGTGAGGCGAGGCAGAGATAGGGAGTCGAGGAGATTTGCCCACGCGTGTCGGAGGGATAGTCGGAGAGAGGTGTCGCGGCCGGGTGCAGGGACAGGATCAGGTCAGGCCGGGGCGAAGGGACTGATATGGAAAAGAGACATCAGAAATTGATTGATGAAATACACAGTAATGTTAATAATCGTCAGCAAGCTCGTCCCTAGACTCTCACGCGGCGAGGAGGAAGCAAAGCACGAGCTTAATTACCGCTCCGGGATACGTATTCTGCGCCGCGACCCGGTGGCATCGTGGCAGCCCCGTCCTGGTCCTCTGGAAAGGCAGGTACCGACTAAAGGGGCGGCGGTGCTAGGTTCGCTCCTCGTCGTCGAGGACCGACGGACGTCGACGTGCTCCGTCAAGCCTTGCCTTAGCGATAGCCGGGGGAGGGACCTTGGGGGAACGATGAAGCCATCCATCTCCTCCCCGTTGCGCCTGCTGCTGCCACCAGCATCGTCGAATTTTGAGGGACAGTGCTCTCAACCCACAGGCAAGAGCCAAAGGTGAGGTGTAAGTGGTGGCGGTACGTATCTTTCTCAGACTAATGCGAATGACAATGACAGTGACATGAGCGCCGGCCTGAGAAAGCGTGGGGCGCGATAGGTGCAAGGGCATCGGAGGTACGTATCTTTCTACTGCGGTAGACCAGCAGGAGAGGAGCAGGGGTGCTGCCTTCTCGACCAGGATACCCCGAACGGCTGGGACGTGGTGTCCGGGTGTGATCCAGGTCGGAATCGAAGACGCTTTTTGCTCTTACACTCTTTCTCTTGCCTCCACTTATTCCACCCGCGCCGAATCGTCCACTCACATGTCTATCTTTGCCTACTGGTCTGTGTTTCTCTTATCTGCCCGCTCACTCACAGCAACCTGTCAGTCACAATGATTACAATTTACACTCCCACAACGCCTCCTCCGTATGCGGATTGCCCACGCTAGCTCCGCCGTCCCAGGCAAGCAATTAAGCCCCCCCCCCCCCCCCCCCCCCCCGCCGTGAAGCCAGGGATCACCGCAGCAGTGCTCCGTCCTGATGCTGCCGCAACCACTGCTTGATCCTCTGCACTTTTATATATGATCCTGCCCGTCCCTCTCATCCCGCAAGCGTCCTCTCGTTCGATCTTTCCACCCAGGCAATTCGTCTCATCCCATACTCGACCTACCCTGGCCACTAACCTTCCTCGACAGCTCTGTCCGACGGACAGCTTGCTTTTCAAATAATAATACTCCTTGACATCCCTCCTCTTTCTCATCATCCCAACCTTGCGTGAATCTCTCCCACCCACATACGGCACTCACGCCCACAACCGCCACGATGTCTTACAGCCATACAGGAGCTCCTACGGAGTTCAATGGCACCAACGCCGACTTTGGTGGTGACTCCAGTATGTTCTCTTGCCAGCCAGAGAATATGGATGTTCAATTCCACCATTTTTGATGCTAACTATCGTCGACAGCCACCACCAACCTCAACCAATGGTACCAGTCCGGCGACCAATCGTACATTCTCGTCTCCGCCGCCATGGTCCTGCTCATGATTCCCGGTATCGCCTTCCTCTACTCCGGTCTCGCCCGCAGAAAGTCGGCTCTGTCCCAATTATGGGTCGTCATGATGAGCTTTTCCGTCATCGTTTTCCAATGGTACTTCTGGGGATACTCGCTCGCCTTCTCCGAGACTGCCACCAACGGCTTCATCGGCGATCTTCGACACTTCGGCCTGATGAAGGTCCTCGCTACTCCTTCTCAGGGCTCGCCTCTCGTCCCCGCCCTCCTCTACTCCTTCTACCAGATGATGTTCTGCGCCGTCACTGCCGCCCTCGTCGCCGGTGCCACTGCTGAGCGTGGCCGCGTCATTCCCTGCATGGTCTTCATCTTCTTCTGGGCCACTCTCGTCTACAGCCCCGTCGCCTGCTGGGCCTGGAACGCCAACGGATGGGCCTTCAAGTACGGTGTTCTCGACTACGCCGGTGGCGGTCCCGTCGAGATCGGCTCTGGTATGTCGGCTCTGGCCTACTCTTGGGTTCTCGGTCGCCGCAACGAGAAGATGATGCTCAACTTCCGTCCCCACAACATCTCTCTCATCACCCTCGGCACTATCCTCCTCTGGTTCGGCTGGTTGGGCTTCAACGGTGGCTCTGCTTTCGGTGCTAACCTCCGCGCTGCGATGGCCTGCTGGAACTCCTGCTTGACCGCCATGTTCGCTGCCATGACCTGGTGCTTGCTCGATTTCCGTCTGGCTAAGAAGTGGTCCCTCGTCGGCTGGTGCTCCGGTACCATCTCTGGCCTTGTCGCTGCCACCCCTGCTTCCGGTGTCATCACCCCTTGGGCCTCTATCATCCTCGGCGTTGTTGCCGGTGTCGCCTGCAACTTTGGCACTAAGAGTAAGTTACAACAGTACCCGCAGCATCCTATTAACAATGCTAATCATTCCGCTCTACAGTCAAGTTCCTCCTCAAGATCGACGACTCCCTCGATGTCTTCGCCGAGCACGGTATCGGCGGTATTGTCGGCCTCATCTTCAACGCCTTCTTCGCCTCTGGCTCGATTATCGGTCTCGACGGTGTCAACGTTGGCCTGACCGGCGGCTGGGTTGACGGCAACTGGAAGCTCATGTACATCCAAATCGCCTACATTGTCGCCTGCTGCGCCTACACCTTCGTCATGTCCGCCCTCATTGCCAAGGCCATCGACATGGTCCCCGGCCTTCGCCTGCGTGCTTCCGAGGAGGCCGAGCTCCTGGGTATGGACGACGACCAGCACGGAGAATTCTCCTACGACTACGTCGAGGTCCGCCGTGACTTCCTTGCCTGGACCCCCCACCAGGCCGAGCCCGCCGCCGAGGGCAAGTTCAGCCCTCAACACGGTATCGAGGAGCACCAGCACATGGCCAACAACGGTGGAAGCAGCGGTTCCGACGAGCCCAAGCCTGTCACTCCCGACAGAGAGCTTAGGAGCGAAAAGGCCCCTTCATTGTGAAGGGCTGAGTCGAGTTGTGCTATTTTGAGTTTTAGATACCGTTGATTTCGACGCCATTTAGCGTCAGACGGCGAGGCGTTCCTACAGGATGGGGTTTTGTCTACGGATTTGATTTGATGATGGAAGGATATCCCGCGAAACGCGAAGCGAGCATACATATTCGTTTGTATTAATACCCATGATACATTGGTACGCCCAAAAGCGGACTTATTCAAAACTTTACCATTACAACATCTCTGAAGCCCAATTTTTGCCCAAGTGACCTACGTGTGGACACCAAAATCCAGACGAACAGACATGCACAGAGTTTCCTCTGTGCGCCCATTACGAGCGAGCGTCACTCAATGTCTCATCCTTCACGACGCCCTGGGGAACATGAGAGCACAAAAACAGCGCACCAGAGTTCTTGGCGGATTCTTGCGGTGTCACAAGTCAGCGGGAGGGTGCGAAACACCGCCGTCAGCTTGGCACAGGCTTTATTTCTGTCCTCCAGAAATCTCATTCGTTCGCAAACCCGATTCGAACACCAGGGCCCGTCGCCCGACCTTGCTTTGCAATTCGGCAAACGGCGTGTGGTGTGGGCTGTGCCCAATTTCCCCTCTCCATCTGTTGGACAGTGCTGCTGCTGTCGTATGTATGTATGTTCCTGCAAAAGTCATTGACTTTCCCCTCTGCTTTAGACTTTTCGCATGCGATTCAAGCGAGGAGAGTTTCTTTCCCTGCGGATGGTTGTGCCAATGTTCCCCTGATGAAAATTGTCTTGGCATTCTTTGCGTCGCCAGCGTTGCTTTTCCATCCGTGGATTTCCAGTTGGGCTGGCTGGTCAGGCATGGCAGAGTTCGGCCGCAATTTGCTCTCTTCGGCCAGGTCGGTCTCGGAGACCGCGGGTGAGAGAGAAGCTGTCAGCGGATTCGTGTTCTCTCCCGGGCAACATGTTCCCTCCCTCCCTTGCTCTGCTACCTTACAAACCATGGGACGATTGAGGGGGGTTGACGGCCAATTTGAGGAGGGATGCCGACGAGTGCGTCTGTGTTATTGTACACTTGGCGAGACCTGCTTTTCCCCTATGTGGTCACTCAATTACTCTCCTGCGTACTTGGGCGAATCCAAGCCAGCACCGCGGCATTGTGCCGCTGTATCTCGGTCAATCACCTCGGTCGGCATACATGAATCCTATGAGCAGCACCATGCCACGACCACGAATCCCTCGAGCACCCCGTCAAGCCCCAGGCGAAAGTATCTCCGTCGCGGACGTACACAACACCGTGCCATACGGACACCGCAGCAACTGCACCGCTTTCCTGCTTCAACGCACCCCCGGCTCTCTCTTCCGGGTTTTTGCCTTTGGGCATCCAAGGATGCCGCTAGCAGAAAAGCCGCGCCCCGTTCCATCGACGAGGACCCCTGAGGGGGGAGGCCACAATCCACATCGAACTGGCGCCGTTTCTTGCGATCCCCGGTAACCCTGTCAGCTCTCTTAAAAAAAAAAAAAAAAAAAGTCTCCCCCCACCCCACCCGCACCGAAGTCGCAGAGATAAGGACTCGAACCGTGACTGGCTGTTAACCACCCCCTGGCTGGAGATTTCGACAATTAAATGTGCCCACTTTGTAGTTACGCCGTCTAGCCGTCGGCGAACTACGGAGCGGAGGGAGGCGTCTGAAATGGGTTTCTTGGGCGTCAATGACAGGAAGGGCGTCCGAACTGGGGACCGGGGGCGAGATGGGGAGAGATTATCGGTGTGGGACGATATGGGGGTCACACTGGGAAGATGTGGGAGGCCATTTTGCCGAAGGAAGAAGAGAAAGGGACAGAGGTGAGTGAGGAGTGAGAGGCGGGGGCTCTGAGGCAGCTCAGCGTGGGAGAAAGAGGAGCACCGGCCGCCAAGTGGGAGAATTGGGAGCAGCCGCCCATGGGGTTCAACGTCTTGGCACAAACTCAGTACGGGAGAAAGAGAGAAGTGCAGCAAGCAGCAGTCATACACTCGTTCCGGTAAGAAGTGAGGTTGAAATAGTGTGCAGCATCGCGAGATGTGCGTCAACCTGCCTCGCGATGCGGCTGCAGAGCTAAGAGACGCGATGCGCCCGCGAGATCTGGCTCTTTTCTCGATTTCCCCAGATTCTCGGGACGGTTCGCCCCTTGTTTATCTACGGTTTTCTTCCTCTTTAATTCTCCTTGGATGTCGTGCCGCCGAATGAAAAGGAATCCTTCCCGTCCAAGAGCCTCCTGGAGACCCGGGTGTTTGGATCTTGCGGGCGCAAAGGGTGGGTTTGGGGGAGGTGTCTGCGGGCGTTGCGGGCGCAGAGGCGTGGTGTTTTCGCCGGCGCTGGTGTGTGTGTGTGTGTGTGTGTGTGTGTGTGGCGCATGTCACTCTGCCTGCCTACCCGAGTAGGTAGGTAGGTAGAAAGGCTAAGGCTGAAAATAACGCAGGGAGATAAGATAGCGATATGCATTTGGTGGTCGTTGGTTTAAAGGCCTACCACACATCAACATCTCACTTGAACATCACGAAATCGACGGATGTCGTTGAAGAAAGAACGAAAGAGCCTCAATTGTGGAACACACGGAACGGCGGCGGTCTTGGCCGTTCCCGACGCGGCGGGACGAACGCACTGAAGAAAACGTGGATGGCTTTGCGTGAGGGTTTTCATCATGTAAATATCGCGTAACCGTTTGACCCCGACACCAGACCCCCCGGGGGGAGGGGCGCTCGAGCGAGGTCTTGGCTGGGCGTAGGGCGGACAAATCGGGGCTGGTGCCGTTGGAGATCGATCCTTTGGGTGAGCGTGACTTAGATTACCGAGGGGAAGGATATTGCGATGAAGGGATTGGTTTTTGGGTCTTTTGCACGATCTTTTTGATGGGTTCTTGGTGATTAGGTACTGGTTGTTGTTGGTTTGGCGGGTGACTGACGGAAGTTGGGGTAAGCGGGCTGGGGTGGGCGTTTACCCCAACATCTCCAGATTGGATATGGACCTCGGCTCAACACGGCGGTAAGCTAAGCTGATTGAGCCTTGATCGTGTCTGTGACGGGCTTAAGAACATTGATGGAGATTGCTGATGACTTGCATCGACACAGGGAAGTGTTTGAGCTGCACGAGTGCGACATCCAGCCTGGTCCTTCAGAATTCACACGCCACTCATATGCTCCTGGCACCCCGCAGCCCTGAGACCACATGGTCGAGTCAATGAGAGATGGCTTGATGCTGTGAGATCGAAATACATGGCATTTGAATTCAAAACGGGGTAGAGGAAACCTCACAGTCTTGAAGTTGCATCGATGATTTAACGCGAGGTGTTTGCGTCGCCGCGTGGTCAGTCGGCGACTACGGCCTCGGTGTCTACTACCGATGATGGATGATTAAGATACCATTCGGAAGGTGAGCATAAGCATACACTGTACTTTGATTGTCTTGCACTAGGTTAGCTGCCTTGACGTGGTTCCCTTCCCGAGTTCACTCAGTCGTAGGTTCTCACTTCTTCTTGTGTGAAAGCCACTCGCGTTTCTGTGTATCTGATGATATGGCAAGGCCATGCCGATCGGAATCGAGACTTTGCTGCAGCACCAGCACTGGATCGACTCACGCAGACTAGGCAGGGTATACAGGAATGACACTCGCCACTTCAATAGCACGAGTTGATCAGATTGGAATGGCTGAGGGGGCTGCAAATGTCAGCCCGCGTGACCCTCATCTTCCATTCCGACATGATGCCCTTTGTCAAGACCGAGAGTTCAGTATTGACAAGAGTTTTGCTGGCCGGGCAGTGTCAGTTGGCCATCCGGGCATTGTCCCCTAGAACTATATCGTAGTGTACCTCATACATTAACGAGGACGACAGTAGAGATAGATAGGGATGACGATGGACGATGACAACGGCGACGACAATAGTGACCGTATTAGCGACGACAATAGTGACGATGATAGCGAGTATAGTCGTTTCGGCATAGGTATAGGATATACGGATTATATAATGCTTATGTGGTGGACACTGCCCCGATAGCTAACTAACACTGCCCGGCTGGCAAAATTCATTGGCAAAAGAAGCATCTGATTGTCCTGTTCAAGGGCATCTTATGAGCTCTCTGCATATTGAACTCATGTCCTCGCCAGCTATGCCTAAAGCCTGATTGCGCTCCAGCGAACTCGCCATTGAACCGAGATTCAGTCTAGCGAGAGAGAGGTCGCTGGTCTGAACATTCTTCACAGTTCAAAACTAGGTCATTCGGGATCAAAGCTGTAACCCTGGTACAGCTCTTGTTGCAGCAAATTCATTGCCCTCCTAAACTGCGCAGCATACCCGAGACCTTCCTCGACTCACTGCGACCTCCCTATACCTAAGATTCAAGAGGCTTATGGGATGACCTGTCCTTGAAATCCAAAGACACCAGCCCTTCTCCGTCAACCTTGAGTGGAAAATAGTGATTGCTCAAAGAACCCGGGTTATTCGACAGAGCTGTACCAGCGCCCCGCTATAACGGTTAATTGAGGCGATCACGCTGAACGTCAACTTTGTCGTGACCAAAAGCTACACCACCGTAACTCAACGAGGTTTCGGAGGCGTCTGATTCTTCACCTTCGCACGACTCGAAATCAGAGATGGCGCTGTCGTGCTTGTCATCCAGGCCTGATCCATGCGAGGACGAGCTATGCGTCTCGAGGTTGAAGTACTCGATGTAGTAGTCCTGGATGTCGTCTGGCGCTCCCGGCGGATGTGAGACTTGGTTCTTTGCCATGGTGTGGTTCGGGTCCCAAAACTCTTGCATCCAGCAGTCAAAGCCCGGAAATAGAGGGTGACACAGGTTTTGGTAGTGTCGGTTCTCGCGCTGGTCAAGCAACCGCTTGGTGCGGTGATAGTGTATCGTCCAGGAAAGCGCTGCATATGAAAGAAAGGGTTCGGTTTCGGGGCTGACTTCGCCTGGCGGTGAAGTCTTCGATGGTTTGGCTAAGCAGTAGAGGAAGGCAACGCAGATGTCCAGAAGGAGTGTGTTGGCATTGACGAGGGAAAAGGTGTGCTGAAAATGGTGAAGCTGGCTCTCATGAGGCAGATCTAGAAGCGGATTTGTGCTGCGTTTTCTCTGTGCAGCCGAGGTCTTCGGCGCCAATAAGAACTCTCTTGCTGTTTCGTGTACTAGATACAATTTCTTCTTGATTATACGAATGAAATGGCCACAAACATGTTTCAGGTGGTTCTCGAGGGGGTACACGAGTCCATACTCTACGTCGTCGAATGTCAGCTTTGCACGGCGTCCCAGGTGTCTTTCCGGACTTCCATCGCCGGAATCATCACCATAGGGAGCTACAGCAAGTGCGATACTGACTTCTTCAACCGTGAGTGGTCGTGCGGCCGCGAGGATGATATTAAGCATCTTTCTAGCTTTCATAGATTCCGGTCTCGATGCGAGGAGTTCCGAGTAGACGCTGAAGATGTCTCTCGTGTTGAGAATTCCATCTAGATCTCGTCTGGAAGCACCGCTCTAGACTTTCTCTTCCAAGAGACTCAACACGAGCGAGACCCAGAGAAAGGTGCGATCAGCTCGCTTCACGAGTTCGGCTTGCAAGCTCTTGAGGAGGCCGACGGGTAGACCCCGGTCAACGAGGTCTTCGATTTTCGCAGCAACCACCCGAGATACATCGTCGCTGATCAATTCCGTCTCATCTTCAGCCCTGAGTCGCATCATCTCGTAGGATTGTCGACGGGCTCCTGAGCCACTCGTGGACCTCCTGTGTTTGCCCAGTGCGACTTTGATCTGATTTTCAGGGCGGCTCGTCATCAGTACCCTGAGTTTGGATTGCTGCTGCACACCGTCGCTCACGAAGTGTTCGGCTATGCAGCGTAGTAGAACCCCTCGAGGCTTCGGTTCGCATTCGTCTATTCCGTCCAGGATGCAGATGGTAGACTTAGCATCGCCATGACCGGTTGATCGGGAAAATGCATCCAATAGTTTTTCAATGCTTTCCAAGTCCCCTCCACGAAGTTTCTGGCGGCGTGAAAGGTCTTTCTGCTGGGTGTAAAGCTGGTGCAGGATAACCTGAATCCCCCTCGCAACATCAGATTGTTCCTCGTTGTCTGATTTGAAAAAGAAGTAGCAAACGTTGACTGCATTCGCTTGCGAGAGTTCCTTGAAATGGTCGACGAGGTAAGAAGAGAACACTGATTTACCGCAACCCGGGTCGGCCGATATCCATAGAAGAGGAGACCCAGTTGATTCGGACCATGCTCTAAATCTTTTGTGTTCAAAGTACCAAGTGCAAGTTCCCTCGACTGGCGCCGGGTTTCTGGCCCTATGTGAAGCGTAGTTGGAGCTATTGAGTGCTATTATGAGATTGTCTGATTCCAGAAAGATGGCCTTTTGAGCGTCATCTGCCAGACGACCAAGCCTGAACTTGATAGCGGAGAACCTTTTTTCTTGTGAAACGTCAGCACCTTTGTTGCAAATGCAACTGACAAGTTGGGAGTCAATCCACCCACCAAGGTATTTAAATAATCCATCTTCAGTGTTTCATAGCAGGAGATGATCTTGAGACTAGAACAACGCTTGAGGAATGCCTCTGAGATGTTGGCCATGCGCTTAGAGTTTGGCTCAAGGTCCTTGGAAAGCTGGGTATTGGTGTTTGCCCCGAGCGATGCCGTCTTGAGAAGACGTGCCGTCATCGTGCTCCAACTTGCAAGGGACGAGCCCTTCTGTGGTGTACCAAAGAAGAAGACTCCACTGATCCTCTTGGCAAGGAACATGTGCTCGTCGCTGTCAAGCGCCTTCAGATACGCCTATGTATGAACTATCAGCTTCAGAAGTTCTCGAGACGGCTGACGAAGATTCACCTGCTTAAACACAAGACCGCCTAGAGAATAGCATATAAATATGAGTGGGCGGTCCTGCTCCTCGATGGATTCTCTCTCGGCCAGCAAACCCTCCAGAAGTTGGTCACTGAAGACATCGATGTCTGACGTGGACTTGCTAAATTGGACCGTAGAAATATACCAAAATAACATGACCATTGCCACTGGCACAATTTGGGGGATGAAACTCTTAAGCCAATTGGTGCCGGTTTTCTCGTCGGTCCAGGTCTTGAGATAATGGCCGTTCGGCCCGTGGATGGCAACGATATCGGTTCCCTCGAGCGCGGCCGAATGCCGAGGGACAATTGTATGGAGGCCATAGTCCGGCTTTTCAGTAGATGTCGTCGATTTGCCCGACTGACTCTTGGATCTGGAAAGGAAACTCCAGTCCATCGCTGCTGTTGCTCTGCTAGAAGCTAGGCAGCTGCACACCTGCCGTCATCAACCAGTGCCTGTTACCAGTTCGCCCTTTCATGCTGATTGATCTGCGGGGTTGGCAGTCACGTCACGTGTAAAGCGAGCCTGATTCTGCCTGTGCCTGCAGGTGCAGGTGCAGGTGAAGTTGCAGTAGTGAGTTCTGATATAGAGTGATTGGCTAATTAATGGGCTGTGATGGTGGCAGTTGTGGCTGGACATGGAAGGGGCAATGAGTAATTCACACTGAGTCAAATATACGAATCACGAGTTCGTCTTCAAAACCAAAAGACGGCCATGGCATTCTCATACGAAATACGCCGGGGGGTTTTTTTTTTTTTTTTTTTTTGACGAGAGGTAGATCGCTGCACAAACCAACGAATGCCACAGTTTTCTTGCACTTGCCACTTTCCGGGTCGCCAGGCATCCATCAGATCTTAATAAGAGAGACCCTAGTTGATGGCTTGAACGCATGCGGCCGATCGAGCCGGAATCGTCAATATGTACTTATCGAAAATGTTTTGGATCAAGGGAGTGTTGTTGGGTTGTTGACAAGTCCCCAGTTTAAACGCTGTCAACTCCTGTTAGTGAACTACTTTCAATTCCGACAGGCAGTCACATTATCAAAGGTAGTGCACTAACCCATGTCTTTCGCGGAGCCGGCCATTTGAAAGGTTGGGGCGGGGCATCCCTTCGTGTTGGACACTTGTTTGTCAATCTCCCAACTTCATCATCGCCGTGGACTCCTCAGCAGACTACATGTTTCGACCGCATACCATACAAGTGCTTACCTTGCGCCAGAAACCATGGATAGCGACGATGAAGAGCATAACGACTACGGTTATCCCGGTGATGGACCCTGGGAAGATAATGACCCCTGGGACAATGACGACCCCTGGGATGATGACGATCACCTCGGGGCTCATGATCCCCAAGCAATGTTGAGCGCTCTCCTCGCTATGGCCGGCGCATCGGCCGGACATTTCGGAAGTGGCAGCGATGACGGTCAATACGATCCTAGAGAGGAGTTCGCTCGGGAAATGGAAAGGCGTATCGATCTCAGGCGCCAGACATGGACCTGGTTCGACATTGACTGGTCAAAAGATCGCGGTTATTATGACCCGGTTGATGACTGGGATTGTGGGGATATGATGAGCAACATACCTCCTGAATGCAACATTGACCCTCGCCCTGTTCTTCATGATCGGAGATGGACAGACATACAGATCTGAGATCGCGGCAAAGAGCTATGCACCGGAGAACCTCAGCCGGAAGACTTTGCGAGATGGAGCCTCGGTGCCATTTACCAGCGAATGACCGACATCGACGAACTATTGCTTCACATCAAAGACATCTGGCCCGTCAAGATGTTCGATCTCGACGATCAGCCAGCCTCTGCGAGAGTCGTCCTCAAAGATGCCCCTCCCAGCCATCATGTGGACCTTGCCAAAAGGCTTCTTCTCGAACACAACATGTTGCGCAAAATCACTCTTGAGCGTTCGCGGCCATCTATTAGACCGCTTACCCTGCTCGATGTTCCGCCAGAAGTTCTCGGCTTCGTGGCGGAGGACCTCGACGGCAATGACAACGAAGACCCCAAACAGGTCGAGAAACCATACATGGCACGCGGCTATCGCGACATCCAAAGCCTTCGCCTCACCTGTCAGACCCTCAACATCGTATCTTCGCCTGCGCTCCTGCACTGCGTGACAGTTCAGATGACGAAGAGTTCTTTTGATCGATTCAAATACATCGCTGAGCGCCCACACTTGCGCAACGGCATTGAACGAGTCCGCATTTCGCTTGGCTATTTCTGCGCCAATGTAGCAGCCTCTGCATGGAATTTCACGGCTTACGCGGTGTGGATGCTTGAGTTTGCGCTTTATCGGAAAGACGAGAGGGGGCAGACCATCCTACACAGCATTATGGCCTACAACGAGGATGCGAAACCGCGACACCAGCAGCTTCAGGATCTCTTGACGTCTTGGAAAGACCTCCGTGATACCCCGAAGGATGGCGCTGATGGAGAACAGAGATGGCTGGCTGTTTTCCGTCAACAACATGCACTCGTGGAGATGTATGAAGCCTACAGGCACAGTTTGAATGAGTATGAAGCGGTTCGACAAAACTTCGTCCACGAAGTTGTCAATGCACTGTCTCAGATGCCCCGATTCACTCGTTTGGAAGTATCAGATTATCTATGGAGGTCGCAATCGATCAGTACCGTGTGCCAGGATTTGGAAATGGCGTTGGTCCGCGATGAGAACTTCATGAGGGGAGACCGCTACGTAGGACTCTTCACGAAGCCGATGCAATGGGATCGCCTTTCGCGATTCTCGCCCACGGGGAGTGATTCTTCTTTTGAGACTTCACCACCAGTCGACGTCCTTGGTCAAATTCTTTCGCTTCTTGGCAAACGCGGAGTCCAGCTCACCAAAGTCGACATCAACATCACGCCCCCGCCAAGTTTTGAGGCTGTCCGTCCTACGAATGTTGAAGCTCGACAAGAAATTGTCAAACTTTTCCAGAACGTGTGGTTCCTGCGCTTCAAGATCGGGCCACCAGCCGACTGGAGGAATCATGATCCAGAGTTGCTTGCAAGAGACGATGTGAATCGCATCTGGGAGCCACGCTCAGAAGAGGAGTTGAAACACCTAGACGGTTTCCTGGGCGCTCTCCTCGACACAAAGAGTCTAAACCAACTCACCCTGGACTTCACCTCACTCATGCACGAGACGTACTTGAATTTCTCAGTCGGCGACTGGTATCTGCCGTCTATCATGAAGCCCAGGCAATGGGCGCGGCCACTTCTGCTTTTATTCCACGCCGTGTGCATTGATTCGACAAGGCTTAATAGCTTCATAGGGGATGGGCCGATGCACTTTCGTGAATTCAAAAGTATCTGTATGGCTCGAGGAACCTGGACAGAGGCGCTGGATGTGATGCGCGAGAAGTACGATCTAAGTGCCTACGACGCGCCAAAAATTCCTTCACCGCCACCCATTCGCTTTTTGATCTTCGTGGCGCCGAAGTTGGGCTTATGGATGACGATCAGCAGCACGCTGCCTTTGAGACCATAATTTCTGGTCGCCCTTCAACTTTACGTGCGTATCGCTATATCAAACACGAGACAGAAACCAACCCTTTTCGGCCTTTTGAGCAACATGTTGTGTAAGACTCGGGCTTAAACCTCAGCCGGTGCCAATTCTGGAAGACGACTACGAGACTGGCTTAAATTCAGATAGAGCAAGCACCTCTTAAGGGTTCCGACAGCAGGAGACAATCAGAAAATTAAAGCTAGTTATCAGTTTTAGATCTTCAATTTCTTTCCTTTAAAATAGCTCTTATCATCGTCGAAGTGCAAACAAGTCTACCTCCAATTCTCATGACCTCACACCCTCCGTCTTCAACTTTTGCCACAGCTTCTCTTCCTCCACCAGGATGTTTTTCCCGCTGAAGTCACCCTCAAAGTCGATGTCGGGCAACAGGCTCTGGTACGGCACCACACGCACCCTCACATCGGACGTCTCCTTGCTCCCAAACTGCATAGCCTCGACAACTTGCCCGTCGCCATACGCGGCGTCCGTCACGATGCGCAGCATTACCTCGGCACACTCCTTGGCCGACATGTTCATGTCTTGCTCGCGAACTTTTCCTACGCAGTACGGTTGGAGCACTGCTGGCGTGAACGTGGTCGCGGGGCACATGGACGCGACTCGGATGCCGAGGCGGGCCTTCATCTGGGCCAGGCTCAGAGTGAAGGAGTTGACAGCGCCCTTAGTGGCGTTGTAGAGCGGCGTGCCGATGGTTGGGAGGTATGCGCTCAGGGACGACACGAAGATTAAGTTGCCTGCAATCTTCTTCTGCAGCCAGTAATCGATGGCGATCTGGGCGAAACGGATGGGTCCCATGGCGTTGACGGCGAAGATGTTGTATACTCCGGGGGTAGCATTCGGGTCATCCTGGGCCAGCGGCGAGACACCCGGAAGATCCCAGAAAGCGCTGGTTGGAGGCTCCCTATAGATTTGCGTCAATACGTACTCCATGCGACTAAGTCAAGCCCGTGATTGATACCAGATGCCAGCTCCGGGGCAGAGAAGGTCGACTCTGCCAAACGTCTTTAGGGCAAAGTCCCACGTCTCTGATACCTGAGCCCAGTTGGACTGATCCATCTTGTGATAGACGGCAGATGGCGACTCATCTTTGGATGGATGGGGATATTTGGCGATGAGTTCCTCCGCCTCCGGACGCAGAGCAATGTCAGCAAAGATAACGGAGCAGCCTGCTGTGAGAAGCTGCTCGGCAAATGCAAGGTTGATACCTAGAGTGGATTTCGATCAGACCACGATGTTCCGGGTATATCAGGGGTTTAGCACAAACCGCTGCCAGCGCCGGTGACGACGGCGAACTTGCCCTTGGCGTCCCAGGAAGCCATTATGCCTTTTGAATACAAGATATAAGTTTCGATGATATTCGGGTCAGTTTGAGCCAAGAATTGAGGGGAATCTTGGGCGCATTTATGAAAATATCTTCAGCAGAAAGTGGATAGCGCCGCTGCAGAGTCCCTTTTCCCATGGGACAAAGTCCGAGGCATTGTGGAACTCGAGACCCTGGCAACATGAAGAAACAGCTCATATTGCAACCTTTGATGGACCAACGGTTGGTTCAGAGATTCTTCATATGCAAGAGCCAACGTCGAAGCAGGGGTTGTGTGGATCCAGATTATCCAAATGGTCATAAGCCAAGGGTCAGAAGCATCATATGTCTTGGTGCCGAGCAAGACGATGACTCGAAAAAGCAGACCCTCTTTCAATGTGATGATGACCTGGGGTCAGCATGTATGTTGGGTTCCTGATGCAAAAGACCTTGCACCAGGCGTTGCGGGAGCTTCTGATGGAACCGCGTTTCGAAACAAAAAAGCCTCAGTATAGACTCCGAGACAACTCCCGACTGGCGGGCATTCCAATACCGCTCTATATGCAGGTGATACGTTGTTTCTGACAGACAGGCTGTGAGGCGCTGAGTTGCAGCCTGATTCTGTGCCCATGTGCACCACCTTGACGACGATGCCTTCATCGCCCTCGCAACCTTATTCAGCCATCACATACGACCATACCCACTGGAAAACTCGGGATCCCGTCCGCTCTCCCATAGATAAGCCAGTGAGGGACAGAGTAGTAGTCGGGTCGGTGACGACCGGCGAATGCCTGTTGTTGTATGTTTTTTGCTGTTTTTGTGACCCTAAGCGGTGGATGTGGAGGCCATCACGATACGTGTGGTTGGCGACGACTTTTCCTTCACAAAAGCCTCGTGAACATCAACATGCTTTAATCAAGTATAAGTTTAAACTACATAGAATACCACTCAATACACAGAGAGTACTGGTCTACTGGGGACAACCGAAGTGCAATTAGACATCGCCCCAGAAGAGTGCGCAAGACCTGCTGTGCCAACCACACAGTTGCGAGTGTATCAAAAGGCTAAGCTTAGTGAGAAAACTCTGGCATACTTTGTTGAAAGATTATTCATCGATGTAAGCTGAAATTGACCCTGTTTGGGGAAATTAAAAGAGTTCATTGAGGTTCTCCAAGCCTGCCGCCTCGAGATTCTCCTGGATCGACCCCTCCAACTCAACTCCAAACGGTCCTGTTTCAAGCGGACAGTATATGTCTTTTCCACAAATCGTGTCTTGGAAGTAAGATTTGACAACCCCGTAAGCACACAAATTGTTCGTTGCCGTGCTGGTGTGCTGTGTTCACGTTAGCCTAGGCGGATAATCAACGACAGAATACTAGATTAGACTTACACCCATGCCCTCAATCGTAAGTCTCCTTGCGTTTTTGAAGCTCGGGGCGTTGAAGATAGCACTGAAAGCGTAAGCAAGATAAATAACCACTCCTCGAGGGACCACCAGACTTACTTCTCAATTGGCGTCGTCGGATCAAACGTGTTGCTCACAAACAACACCCTCGCCTTCGTCTCACCTCCATACGGGCCCGTAAACACATCATCGCTCTTGATCTTCCAACCCGTACAGCCCAGCGTGGACCTAATCCACGTCTCCCCGATAACGCTCTGCCCTTCGAGCTGGTCAATCAGCCCCCGTATCTCCTCCAACCCCTTGCCGTACTGCTTGTTCTCCTGGTCAGAACAGATCACGCCGAGCCCCTGCTCGGGGCTCGTCTCCGCATACGACGCGACCCCGGGATCCCCAATCAGCCCGTTGACCTGCTCCGTCCACTGTCCCAAGACACCGCCCTCCAACGCCTGCTCCAGCCCGACCAGCGCCTCCGCCACGGGCCCGAACATCTCCAGCGGCTGCACCGCCATCGCCAGCATGCCGACCTTGAACGTCAACAGCGCCGCGGCAATCTCGCTGCTATTCCCCCATCCCTCCGCTGCCGCCCTCCCCGCGTCCAGCCTCTCAAACGACGCCTTCCACCGCTCAAAGATGTCCATCGCCGTCGTCCCCGTGTAATACGCACACGCCTCCGGCCCCGCGGCGTGACAATACACAAAGAACGCGCCCACGACACCATCGAGGTGATTCACACTCCGCCACGTCCCATTCGCCTGGAACGCCGCCGGATCCACCACCCCGTCCAGCGCAACATGTCCCACGCGGTCCGGGAACATACTCGCGAACGTCTGCCCGAGAAACGTGCCGTAGCTGATGCCGTAGTAATTCAGCAGGCTAGCATTAGCCGCCGCACGCGCTCCGTCAGGCGTCCGCGCGAAAGCGTCCACGATGCTGAGCATGTCCCGCGCCGTTACGGCCGTCGTCATGTGCCGCCCCGCCCCCGTCGGCCCGCCGGCCTGCTCCGCGCACTGCTCCCCGAGCGCCCTGCCGAAGTCGATGAAGGACTGCAAGTACGCGTCCTGCAGCCTCGGCGCCTCCCTGGACTGCTGTGTTTGAGCGAGGATCCCCGCGGAGCAGTTCGGCCGCGGCTCGCTCAGCCCGATGCCGCGGGGGTCGAAGCCGACGATGTCGTAGTTGGTCCCGATGGCCTGGGCGATCAGGGCGCCGTTCTGGCTGATGAGCTCGATGCCTGAGCCGCCGGGGCCGCCCGGGTTGGCGAGGATCATGCCGCGGTAGGGCCCGTCCGAGGAGGAGGGCGCCGCGGGGAGCTTGATGAGCGGGACGGTGGCGCGGGCGAGTCCCGGGTTGAGATAGTTCAAGGGTACCTGGTGAGAAGAGAGGTTAGTAAGTGAGGATGTGAGGGGGTGGGTGTTGGGTTGCGGACATCGAGTTTGGCGCAGAGGTAGTCGCCTTCGCATTGGCACCAGACGAGGTCCTGTGAGGGCGTGATTGAGTCGAAGGTGCAATTCTGCGCTCTCGTCACGGTGCCGAGTGACGCGAGCACCGCGGTGAGGGCCCCGGATCTCATTATTCAAACGATTGTGGTATTCTTGTTGAAACGAATGTAAGCAGTACGGTCTGCTGTTGACCGAGATCTATCCATCGACGTGAGAGATCCCATCGTATTATAGATCATCTTCAAGACAATTCCGCCGTGCAGCCTTAGACAATCTCACCCTCAGCTCAAAGCCCGTCGCTTCAAAATGACATCCCGTGCATGTCAACGTCAGTGACGTCAAATTTCCATTCACTCTCCTGAGTCCGACTCTCTTTTCGCAGTCTCGCAGGATCGTGAACCTGGGAGAAACAGAAAGGAAAGCCATCAAAACACGCGAAAGCAAGCCAGCTGTTGATACAGAACATCGTAAAGGTATCTCAAAAGGAGGCTGTGAAGTAGGAAACACGCTAAAACCTGTGCATAGCCTCAGTGGTGGTAGCATCCCCGGAATGCATTTCACGGGGTCCCGGCCAATCCAGGCACCAGTCTCGTATTCTCAAAGCGTCAGTATCTCGATGATTTCCCCCGCGAGGGGCTTGCATGAAATTAGACAGCTAAAGAAGGTGAAATCGTGGGCGTCGCACAGCCCATCTACACCAAGAAAATCTAAAGACCTTGATTATGCCCGAGGAACCCAAACACGACACAGCCCGTCCGTCGAGCAGACGGGGAAACGAATGAAATATGTACACACAAAAACAACCACGCAAACACACTAATCG